GTGATGCAGTGTGATGCATTGTGATGCATTGTGATGCATTGTGATGCAGTGTGATGCATTGTGATGCATTGTGATGCAGTGTGATGCAGTGTGATGCATTGTGATGCATTGTGATGCAGTGTGATGCATTGTGATGCATTGTGATGCATTGTGATGCATTGTGATGCATTGTGATGCAGTGTGATGCATTGTAATGCATTGTGATGCATTGTGATGCAGTGTGATGCAGTGTGATGCAGTGTGATGCATTGTGATGCATTGTGATGCATTGTGATGCATTGTGATGCATTGTGATGCTTTGTGATGCAGTGTGATGCAGTGTGATGCATTGTGATGCTTTGTGATGCATTGTGATGCAGTGTGATGCATTGTAATGCATTGTGTTGCTTTGTGATGCATTGTGATGCATTGTGATGCATTGTGATGCATTGTGATGCATTGTGATGCTTTGTGATGCATTGTGATGCAGTGTGATGCATTGTGATGCATTGTGATGCTTTGTGATGCTTTGTGATGCATTGTGATGCAGTGTGATGCATTGTGATGCAGTGTGATGCTTTTGTGATGCATTGTGATGCAGTGTGATGCATTGTAATGCATTGTGTTGCTTTGTGATGCAGTGTGATGCATTGTGATGCATTGTGATGTTGGATGTGCTGTGATGCCCATGGCAATGGTGTGAAAAGGCGCTCAATTGTGTGTGACGATGTGACGTTATGTGACGCATCACAATTTTTTAGCGCCTGTGCAAGGCAAATATATCGTGCATGGTATAAAATTGGTTTCTGTTTGCTTTTAAATTATACAAACATGCTAAAATGCAGATTCTTATAGCAACAGAAAATTCAGGAAATCAAGCAACGAGAACGTATGACTGTACGCTTTGAAATATTTTTATTTTCTCGGGGTTCGCCGGTTCGGGCGTAGTTTTATTTCACAAAAAAATCATTGGAAAGAACTAGCTGAAACCGAACGAACTGCAGGATGTGAACGGAAGGCTACGAAGCAATGGCAGACATGGCAAAATTGAAAGCGGACGCTATGTCCATCGTGGAAGAAGAGGTAGAAACAAATGATCTTACAAGGTTCGAAAGATTTAAGAAATGGGCAAAAGAAAATATATTTGGAATATCAGCCGTAGCAATATCTGTGGCGTGAATCATCACCACGATTATTATGGGAGCTAAAAGCGTAGCAAAAAAGTGAGCAAGAGCAACAAGCAAAATCGCAAAAGCAATAGCAAATCTAGCCGGGAAGGTTGGACCCGTACTAGTATCCGTACTAAACCTCATCGCCAAAGTTCTGTCATGGGGAGCAAAGGGGATTGCGTTCCTGGCGAAGAACTTTGGATTTTAGCTCTAGCATTAACCTACTTCCTGTACAACGAATACGGAAAAAGGAAAAAAAGAAATACTATATAATAAATGAGTAACACAAACGAACTTATCGTACTCAGCGCAATCGCCGCAATTGCGGTAAACAGCGGTTTCACCCCGAGGCAAATCCTGGGGTTGCTGGGAGTTATGGAATTCGGATATCACCTCATGGACAACATGGTAGCAATCGCCTCTATGGACAAACCCCCAGGACCATACAATCATCAGGATACCTGATACATGAATTTGGGGAAGAAGATTAAAAAAAATAAATACTATATAATAAAAACATGGGAGATAGAAAAGACTTCATGAACGAAGCTTTCGACGCCGGACTTATTACATTTGGCGCAGCCGCTGTGTCCGTGGTAAGCAAAAAATTTGCAGGTAACAGTCTTGGAGTACCTAGTAGTCCGAAAGGAATTCTAAAGAGGGCCCTGAAGGGGTAAAATGGGAACTGGGATTGATCTATTTTTAGACAGGGAAAATGGGATTTGGGTTGCTGGGACTGGGATTTGGCCACTGGGAATGGGAAATGAAGTCCTCAAAAATGGGAATGGGATTGAGGTAATGCGAGTCAATTCCCAATTTTTCTGCGTTTTGAGTATTTTAAAATACAATTTTGATCCGTTTTTGGTGTCTTTGGTCATGATTTTTGTTGTTAACTATATTATTCACAGCACTACCTGCGAACAGGCATACTCTGGCACCCGGAATTCTGGGTTTTCTGATTATGCGTGTCTCAGAATGCTCGGCAAATGCCATTTCTGGGATTCAAATTTAAAAATTTTCCGTGCCTTCGGCACGAGCCCCCCTTAATATTTCATAAAGTGTCCGCCACATGCTTAAAAGGTCTTAAAACTGTTTATTCTACCGATAAATAAAGGGTTTTCTATTGACTGGGATTTCAATAACTGGGACTGGGATTTCTCAATACTGGGACTGGGATTTTGCCAAAATTTCAGGTGGGAAATGGGATTGGGACCCCCCCCCCCCTTCAGGACCCTCTCTAAAACTAGCCGTAGCCCTTGGAGTCGGTGCGGTCGGCGATCACTATTTACAATTCAAAAAACTAGTACCGGATGATCCATTCAAGTAAACCATTATAATAAAAGGAGATGACAAGTGTTGTAGTTGGAGGATTATTCAACGGCATTCGCCGGAGCCGGATTCCTGTTCAGCAAATTAAACCATGGTGGATACGAAGACGAAATGAAAAGACATAACAAAGCGTTGGAAAAATTAGCTAAAGCTAAAGAAAAATGGTATGAAAGTCAAATGGAAAAAAGAACAGAATTGCAATACTCAGGCAGGAACTAGTCAACGCCAAATCGGATATGGAAACGACAAACCGTGCTCTGGACTCCCTGCGGAAAGTGCAGGAGGAACTAACCCTGGATAAAGAACCAACAATTCACGATTACTACAAACCATCAAGCGAAATGGAAGAATACCAGCAGATCACGATTAGAATACTGGGATTGGGGTCTGGATTCATAATTACAAAAATTTTTCCAATATAATAAAGAGGACCTCATCCGCAAGTCCTGGAACAGACTACCATTCTTACTTTCAAACCCTTTGGGTTTGGAAAAACCTGAATCGACTTTAGGATTAGTTTGGAGGTAAAATATTTTTCTATATGATAAAAGAATTTTGTCTGTTGATTGTTCATCTTTCCCACTTTCAAACCTTTTGGGTTTGGAAAAAAAAGCTGACTCAGCTTTTTTCCCAAACCATCCACCCTTGCAAAGACTCCGGAAAGACTTTGGGAAGACTTTGGGAAGACTCTAACAGTCGGGTGGGGTGGGGGTTTGCGCATGCGTGGTGGAAGTGGTCGCGGTTGAGGTGCGCGGGTGGGGGAAGAGATTTCGGGAGAAAGAGGGTTCCGAGAGGGGTTGGTGGGGGTTGATGGGGGTTGGTTCTGACGTCATAGGTCACTTGATATTATAAACTAGAAGTGACGTCATCAGATGCGCGTCACCCTGGGGGTGGGGTGGGGTGGGGTTGGGGTGAAGGTTTGTCACCAAAATGTCCCAGAATCGGCGTTTTCCTACTACTGACCCTTGGAACGAGGTTGGTTGTTTGTAATTCCCAATTTATGTATCTATACATGAAAATGTATCTATATAAATAAAATGATTTGTTCATTAATTCAGATCGTAAATCAAATTGATGAGATTTCGTTATATTGTTATGTTTCACGCACAATATGATGGGGATAGGGCTGTGATCGGGGTCAAGATCAAAGAGAAATATATTCTTGCGCGAAAAATGAAGATGTAACTGAGGGTTCCCCGAAATACTCAAAAGAGAATGTTGTTGCCGCATGCAGCAGCTGCATCCGCAATTAATGAGAAAAGATTTAAAGTGATTATTCCAAAAGTGGTGATTCCAAAATCTTGTCTGACACTTTAATGTGATCCTCAGACAAAGAAACGTCATGAAGTGCAGTTTAAAACCATCACAAACCCTATATTGCGGTTACTCGGTTGGTGTAATGAAATCCTTGATAACTTTTAAAATGTAATGAAAATTTAGAAGAAAATCAAGTTCATTCAGGCCCATATGATCTTGAGTGCGTACTGCTGCTGGAAATTTAAGGAAAAGACGTACACTACATACCTTGAACACGATTGTTGAAGAATGCCAAGAGAAGAACAGAACATACCAAAAAATTCTTCATCTTAGTGAATTGAATTGAATTTAACATGCACCGGACGCCAGCTACACAAAATAAATCAGATCCTGTTGTCGCGACTTTAAGTTTAAAATTTTATCCCACATGAAAGCGGAATAAAGGCGATTGGTAAATGTGGTTTAAACAACGGTTGTCAACATTCATCAAACATGACAAAGTAAGAAAAGGCTGCGAAATCAAATTGGTCTTGTTTAGCTACATTTATAGTTTAAGTCAATAAATGACATGTAAATACAGGCAGAAGAATCAATAGTTCTGTTGTTTTTGAGGAAAAAAGTTTCATTTTGATTGATTAATGTTTACCATTTTGGCATTTTAATTTTGCATTTAATTCTTATACTGAACTAATGATTTAATCAAGATTAATTTTATAGAATTTATATCTACAGTCAACTGAATTTACCTAGCCTGGCAGAAACTACTAGTCTGGTAGTACTGGTACATAAAAATCTCCAAGGTCAATAGTACTGCATTAGTATTTCTGAGGGCCCGTAGTTTTACTCTTGGGCAATAAAATAATTCTAATACTGAAAACCGACTACCCCTCAAATTCAGTTTTACTTTCATCAGTCTCGGTTGTTGAGGGCTAAGTCGCTGAAGCAGTACATGTTTCGGGTTATAGACTTATAGCTTGATAAACAGGATCGAAACTAATACTGACGAAGACCTGCATAACACATTATATATACTTACCCTATGACTAAAAACCTCGTATGTAAAATTTTCAGATACGTTTTTATTCAGCAGTCTTGCTTCACATGAATCAGCCAGCAGTTGCTATAAATGAGTAATGAGCTAAAGTTCCTTGTTTAAGTATTATATATCCTGCTATTGTTATAAAATACAGTGAAATGTATTTCCTGGTATAGCTACACCAGTATAGTCATGTGAGTTTCCAAGTATTGATATATACCTACATTATGGGATGTCGCCGACATGCCCCGACAGATCTACTAAATGTTTTTCGGTTTTGTACATAAATTCCAGAAAAAAAATCAATTAGTTTATGCCGGAAGTCTCATGTTTATGTAAAAAATAAAAAAGTTGAGTTGATTCATGCAGTATTAGGTGGACAGGAGATTAGAATATATATATATATATATATATATATATATATATATATATATATATATATATATATATATATTAATCACCGTATGTAAGTATTTTTTAGTGAACATCACCATAGGTAAGTATTTTTTAGTGAACATGGGCTTGTAACCCAGAGGTCGCCGGTTCGAATCCGACTCAGTCTCAGCTTTTCCTGTTCACTAAAAAGTTACTTCGTTTAAAACATTTATTCACGACAAATTTGTTTCGTATGGCAAACTAGGCTTGCCACACTCATCAGGTGAATGGTGATATCGCGTATTTACATGATGTTATAACCTATAGGTAACTTGAGCTGTTATATACAAATGTTTGACGTCATTAGGAAAGCGTAAATATATGCTTGTAATCTGACTACTGGCTACAGAGCAAGAATTTTTTCCTGTGCCTACATGATAGATAGATAGATATTTTATTTTTCATTATACAGTTACAGTTTTGATAAAATATAAAGATACAATTCATATGGAAGGAAGACTAACAAGCCCGTCAGGGCTTGTTAGTAGGGCACCCTAAAAAATTTAAAAAACAAACTAATATAACAAAGGAGAATAGTGTCAGATAATGTCAGGTTCAAGATATATGAGGTCCACTAATACAAATTAACTTTATAAAGTTATAAATTATTTTTATTTACATTTTTTGTGAGTACAACCAATAATCTTCAGAAGAAAGAAGATATAATTTTAGATTGCACTTAAATATTAAAATTAAATATGTATTTACTATCGCTATTTTTAATGTATTCCGGCAACATATTCCACACTACTGTGCATCTGTAGTGTCGTTTGTGTAATTTCATAGAGCCTCTGGTATTATGGCAATGAATAACATTGTTTTTTTATGCAAAGTGAATCAAATTGAGGTGGTAGTGTATTTTTTACTGCGTCGAATGTGAACAAGCCAACTTGAAAAGCATTTATCTTATTAATATTTAGTATTTCTAGCGTTGAAAAAAGGGTTGAAGATGAGAAAGTATAAGGCAAAAATGATATTATTTTCAGAATCTTTTTCTGTATCGTTAATACTGATCTTGTTTTATAGTTGCTAGCCCATAGTATATTACCGTAATATAAATGTGGGTAAACAAGAGTATGATATAGAGTTATGAGATGTTTTTTATTTAGAATGTTAGATACTTTTAATAATTTCTTAGTTATGTAATCAATATGACTTTTCCATGTTAAGTGTTCATCAATTATAATACCAAGGAATTTAGTTTCTTTAGCATTTTGTATAATTTTATCATTAATCTTAAAGGTTAGATTTGCGTTATGTTTTTTCCTGAATGATTTGAATATAATGTAGTTAGTCTTTTTGACATTTAAGGTAAGCTGATTATCCTTAAGCCATGTTTGCACAAGTATAAGTTCATGATTTATTTCTATTTCAAGTTGTTTCAGGTCTTTTCCTGAACGAAATAAATTGGTGTCATCTGCAAACAATATAAACGAAAGATTACTAGAGCAATGTATATCATTGATATATAAAAGAAAAAGTAATGGGCCCAAAACAAAAGAAATATTTACTTAAAATAAGAAAAATAATCTAAAAAATAAGAATATTATTCTAGACTAGAATTTGATTTTTTGCAGTGATTTCTCTAAAATTTTCCAACGAATAGAGTATTCTATATGTTAGACTGTTTCAACTGCCAAATATATTTACTCAGTTCAGTTGAATGTTTATGATCCGGGTTCCTGAACGACCTTGTATGGTTGTAGTATCTCACTTTAAATGGGCCCGCTGTGTGTCAAACGTAGGTTTCTTTCTGTTGGTTGTCTTCTCTCGTTACTGTGGCTTGGTATACAACGCTTTCGGTTAAACATTTTCCGGGGAGAGGGCAGGATTCTTTCTGACGGCAATTACACTTCCTATCGGGATTTTTAGTAGCCTCGGGCTGCTTGCGATCGAGTACGGTTCTGTTGTGCGCCGTGATGATATTGTGCACGTTGGGTACTTGGGCATACAGCTGTAGCTTAACTTAAGATTGTTCCTATTGAGTTTATGTAAGGGATGGTGTGGTGGGAAGCATTCATCAATAGCCTGCAGAAATTTGTGACCAATGTCGGTGGCAACGTTGGCGCTGTAGGGAGGATTAAACCATATCACGTTTCTGCTTCTATTACGTTATAGGCTTTGGTGGCTGGGGATTGTAATTAAGGGCGTAGTTGAAACCACTCTTTCGCAGGGCTTCCTGATATGGAGGCGCGGCCGCCTGGAAGGATTGATTATCTGAGGATATGTTTGATAGCCTCTTGTTAATAGCGTCTGGTATGCTGCGTATAGTATTGTAGGCGGGTGGTTGCTGTTGTGGTTGATAGAGAGAGGTGTATTTCCGGGTTTCATATATGGCCTGTAAGATGACGATCTGAGATCAAGTGTAATGTCTAGATAGTCCACGCATTTTTTGTTGGCTTCGATGATTATTTTCAAGTTGTTGTCATTGAAAACTTTGCAAATGCTTTCCTTAATGGTCTCGATTTCACGCGGTGTTCTGTCAAAGGCTGCAAGGCCGTCATCTCTGTACAGACCGATATCATTGCCGTACTCTGCCGTTATAGTTGTGAAAGAAGATAAGATCCCACTAACTCGCATGTCTCAGCCCCGTCAGAGCTGCCCATATATATATATATATATATATATATCATGATATATATATTATATTATATATATATATATATATATATATATATATATATATATATATATATATATATATATATATATAAGGCCGTCATCTCTGTACAGACCGATATCATTGCCGTACTCTGCCGTTATAGTTGTGAAAGAAGATAAGATCCCACTAACTCGCATGTCTCAGCCCCGTCAGAGCTGCCCAGATATATATATATATATATATATATCATGATATATATATTATACGAAGCACGAAGCACGCAATAACTGGAACCACAGCTCAATATGAACCTGCCCTAATAACACTATTTTCATTTGTGCGTTTGTTTTCAAACAGGAGTATATTTTAATTTATTTATATTAAACATATAAAGATGAAAAAAATTAAATTTAACATAGCGGTTTATATTATTGTGTTTTAAATAAGTTCTAAATCGAGACTGAGACTATCGCCCGTGTTCTAAAAGCTCACTCACTCCGAGAGGTTCCGAATTTGAGTTTCTCTTGAGTGTCAGTGCTGTTTTTGAATAGCTGGACGGTGAGTAGTCGCATAGTAAGGAACTAGGACACTGACAAAAACAGCAATGACACTCAAGAGAAGCTTAGAATTAGATTGAACCTCCACTCATTGAGTGTGAGTGTGAGTGAGCTTTTAGAATACGGGCGTACGTCTATGTCCACAAGGTAACGGTTTGAGCGTTTTTGCAGTGGGGTTTCCAAATTTAGTGTTTAGGCGCCTTGTTCCCATTGATTATTTTTCTCGCAACATTTTTTGACAAAGCACTATAGTTTTTAGTCTTCGTTTCCAAATTCAAACACGGTATTTCATTTTCGCCTTCGGCCAGGGCCGTAGCCAGCATGTATAATTTGGGGTGTAGGCCAAAAATTTCCGAATGACGCGGAAAATTTCCGAATATTTCATGGCATACGAAGCCACGAAGGTGTTTGCTATCCGCCAAAATGAAGATGCAATTTACAAACAAAAATACACATAGTTTACGCAAAGACATATTACAGAAGCATGCAGTGGCGTAGGAAGCTCTTTTTTATTGGGGGCTGGGAACGAGGGCCGAAGGCCCGAGGAAATTTTTAAATTTAGATTCTCTGAAATGCCATTTCGTGGACTTGGGGGAGGTTTTGACAGCCGATTCTGATGGTCAGAAAACGGAGTTTTAGTATGATATTTGTGACGTTAGTCCGAGTATGCATCCACAGCGGGCAAGCTGAAAAGTTTGCTTGGCCACGGTGGGAGTCGAACCCGCGACCTTTCAGATACTAGTCCAATCCTGGTCCAATGTTCTGCCAACTGAGCTACGTGGTCAAAATCGGTTCGAGTTGTTAATACAGTTTTAGTAAGTCGAAATTTACAATTTGCTTACAATTTAGTAGAACTAAATGGGCGAAGGCGTATTTAATTAACTATATATCGCAGGAAAGAGTATAGGTAATATGATTCTTTGGGGTTTGTCATGGATAATGTAGCCACTTAAAATTAATCAATAGACTTTTCCCCTTATGAGTGAAATTTTGATCTAGACAAGCCGCCTAAACAAAAATTTTATCACAGCTAGAAAGAGCATCACAAAATTAGTAATATTCCGAAGTTTCGTTGCGAAATGTTGTAAAATGCGGATAATATATAACCTTGCGAAGTTTGCCGTTTTTCAGTCATTGTATAACAAATGGGAAATTGATAATCAGTTTAATCATCTGATTATCAATTTCCCGTTTGTAATGCAAAATGACTGAAAAACGGCAAACTTCGCAAGACTATATTATCGGCATTTTACAACATTCAACGAAACTTCGGAATATTACTAATTTTCTGATGCTCTTTCAAGCTGTGGTGAAATTTTTGTCCAGGCTTGTCTAGATCAAAATTTCACTCAAATGGGGAAATTAAGGTCTATTGTAGAGGTGTGCAAATCCGATCCGAATCCGATCGGATTCGTTCGGATTTCGGAACCAAAATGTAAATTTCAGATCGGATTGATAAAGTTGTTTCGTAGTAGGATCGGACTTCGATATCCGAAATAAAATGAATTAATTATCCATGCATTATCGCAAGAATTAATTATCCATACATTTATCAAAGTATCATCGCGGTTTTCGCTGCATTATTCGCTTGATACTTCAATTGGACGTCACTTTGTCAGCTTCTTGACATGTATTTCTTGCTTTTATATTTATTTGGTTAAATATTTCAACTTGAATGAGAAATTTATTTTATTAAAGAATTCTTCGGATCGGATCGGAATTTTTTTTCAAAACTCGGATCGGATTCGGATTAGACAATTTCGGATAGGATTTTAAACATTAGGTAATTGTCGGATTATAAACGTGCAATCCGATCCGATGCACACCTCTAGTCTATTGTCAGTATTTTAAAGGTATATTATTTAAATGATAAAGGTGTGCATGATTTTGAAAAAAGAATGATTATCAGCAAATTATTGTAAGGGCTGCTGCCCCCAGATCCCCCCCCTCCTTCCTCTCCGAGTGCTACGACCCTGAGAAGTAATAAACCGAAAAACATTTACTGATTTACGATTTGTTTTACGTTATGCATGTAAATGCCGTGATTTCGTAAATCAGTTTATACTAATGGTTTATACTGACAAAACCATTTTATAATATTTTCTCTGTTTAAACAACTAAAATTTTGTTATACTATTATTCGCCGTAATTTTCCGAATGGCCAACCCGAAAGGGAAATGGCAATATATTTTTTTATTTTCTCATTTGAAAGAACTTTTGAAACTATTTAATAACTTCTTTTACCGATTCTTCATATCTTGCTTAGTTCTTGAAATATTTTCACTTGAAGTAATGAGATGTCAGCCATCTTGGATAAAATTTTGATCTCATTAACGATAGTTTTGGTGACGTCACAACAGGGATTAACCATATAAAAGTATTCGTTACTGACCAAATATTGATTGGTAGATGTTTTAAACGTTTCAAGTGATTTTGATATTTCCAAGAGCATACAGAGTATAATTTTGAGTGCAAAATGATTAGTGGTTGTCTAGATAAAAATATTGCGTGATCCCTGTTGTGACGTAACATGCATATCCACAAAAATCCAAGATGGCGGACATTTGATTTCTTTCGATTAAAATATTTGTAGAAGTAAGCAAGATATGAAAAAACGGTAAGAAAGTTTTATATATGGTTTTAAATGTTCTTTCAAACGAGAAAATAAAAAAATATATTGCCATTTCCCTTTAAAATTAATCAATTGTCAGTATTTTAAAGGTATATTATTTAAATGATTAAGGTCTGCATGATTTTGAAAAAAGAATGATTATTAGCAAATTATTGGGAGGGCTGCAACCCCCCCCCCCCGCCCGGTTGCTACGGCCATGAGAAGTAATAAACCGAAAAACACTTACCGATTTACGATTTGTTAAAGTGCCTATATCACTTGTGGGATCTTTATGGATTTGAAAAGAGCGTAAAAAGTTAGTTAATATACGTTCAAAACATTTTTTATTTAATGCAATAGTTCTGAGGATATAGGACTGTTCGGACTGTTCTTGAGTCCCAGCCTCCTTGGCTCTAAACACGGCTATTGAATTTGGCCTTTTTCCAAACAGTCCATTTTGCATAGGAGCCTGGGACTCAGGAACTGGAGGTAGTTTAGAGGTCTGTATCTTCGAAATTATTGCACTAAATAATCCACACCCACAAGTGATATAGGCACTTTAAATGTTATCCATGTAAATGGAAAGATTTCGTAAATCAGTTTATACTGACAATACAATTATATTATATTTTCTCTGTTTAACAACTAAAATTTTGTTATACTATTATTGCCGCAATTTTCCGAATGACCAACCTGATTTTCCGAATATGCATGTTAATTCTAAAACAGTTGGGGGGTTAACCACCCCCAATACCTCCTTCGCTACGGCCCTGGTTCCACCCCAGTTGTGCGTGTGGATGCTTTTCAATACTACTACCTTCCAACCGACAGATTGCTTATCAGCATTTCTGCATCGTTATTCCCTAGTGTTGCAGTGAGACAGAAATACACGAAAAGCAATTTGTTGACGAGTAACTTAATTTATTGATTAATTTCCACACCTCGATTTGCAAAGTATTCTTACAACTTGTCTCTAATATATTTCAATTCAATTTTCCATCTTTACTGTCAGTTAAAGTTGAATAAAAAACAATAATGAACTCTTCCGGCCCTCTTTTCATCCTACAGAAGAATATAGAAGAGCTATATATACAATCTTTCCATAAATTGATCTGGATTTTCCCCATTTAACTAACTAAACAATATCCTCTGGGCATTCTCTTGCACTATATAAAATATTGCGTAATTCTACCGTTTCCACCAAATTACCATATATATATATATATATATTGATTTGTTTTAACTTAAAAGCTAAAAGAGCTATTACATGTAAACTACGTGCATTGCATTCAGTATTGTCTAACTTAAATTTTGATATACGCCCTGTGCATTTTCGTGCAATATTGACCGAGAGAGCTGCGTTTAAACCTGAGTAACCATTTTTGAAAGTGTCGAGAATTAGCCAAAAACGGCCAATCAAATATCTAATACAATAATAACCTGTGCTTAGACGCACTATAGTCAGAAAGTACACGTTCGTTGTCAGAGACCTGCCCAACGCAGCCGGTATAACCTCACGAGCATTATTTACCCTTGCATATTCTAAACATGGTCGTTAAACAAGGCGTATTTATATAAAAACACTTGACGTTTCTTTCTTGGAACATTAGAATTTGATTCCCCGGGTCATTGAATATTTAGAATAAATCTTTTAATAAAAATCGCTTCACAATTTAATTTTCATGCACTCCCAAAGACCTTAAACAAAAATAAAAGAGCACATCCATCCAATAATTATACTATATTATGTAAACATAAATCTTCCTGAATGTGCTCACCTTTAAAAGTTAAATTAGAAGAATTTCTTTTAGACTACGATCTCTCCGTTTAATCCTCTTTTAGCTGATAAATGAAATAAAAGTGAAGTTCACATAACGATTGTCTATACGTTGATAAGATATATCAGGTCATATGGAGAAGGGATAAAATAATACCAGGTGATCGTACGCTGCAGGATTTTTTCACAAGTGGGTAACATGCTGAAATAAGTGCCCCCTGTGTGAATGCATTCAAAGTCATATCAGTTAAATGCAAGATTATACGGCGCCCCATACAGATCATACGATTATAAGCGCCATTTTGCTTAATAATTAATAATATAACATTATGACAACTATAAAAATCACAAAGGCAAAGTACTGTACTGTACTTACTACTCATTCTGTTTACGTATTTATTACCTATTTCACTTCCATTCCAATTCAGATTCAAACACGTTGCATTACGAACATCATGGGTGTAATGACATGGTCTCTCACAATAATCAGCCTAAAATTATATGATATAATATACTTAATATCCTGACCAATAAACATTTTCTAATATACTGTATATATTATTGATCCAAATAAATTTGTCAAAACAGACAAGAAGTAATATTGTAATCGAAGACTTACAAGAATCCTGTTATTAAAATATCCACCGTCAATATAGCACGCATCAGGACCGGTCCAGCCCCACCAACACAAACATCTTCCATTTCTCAAACACCATCCTTTGCCATGATTTGGAGCTACATATGGAAACGAATTTAAAAATTTTAATCTTCAAAAATTTGTGAGGAGAGGGGAAGGGGTGTGGCAAAGCGAACACCGAAGGCATGAGACCGGCTATCTGTATTGCAATCGAGAGTCCCTGAAAAGCGATGTTTTTGCAATCGAGAGTCCCTGAAAAGCGATTTCAAGATTTTTGAGGTGAAATTTTGCGCCCGCAGAATCAATGACATGATTTTTCCAGACATTTCTCCTCGGAATTAAATGAATTGGAAACGAGATTTTACAGATGAAGCTCCTCCGGTAAATCGCCGTTGTCCTCAGTCGAGACGTTTTAGCTTCGAACTCAGTTTTAACTTCGAGATTCAAACGCGTATCCCCCTCCCCCCCCCCCACCAGGATGCAAGGAAATGTGAAAAAAGGCGATATACGGATATTCTAAGACGTCTGTGGGACACCTGCATTAATATATCCAAAAATGAAATTCCGTATTTCAGAACATATTGGTGATTATAAAAATAAGCTCGAAAATATATTATTTAGTAAACTCTGCATGGTGTTTCTAGAAAAATAAATGAACAAACTACCAAGCTTCGTCAGACCTAGTGGCGACGTCGATAACATATAATAAGAGAAACTTACGATTTCCACATCTTTGGTCACATGGTACCGTGGGATCAGACTTGGCAGGTAGTACACACTCGTGTTTTGTGTGGTTAGAGTTCACACATTCTGGGTTGGCGTAGTCGTAGGTGTAGTGACACGGTATACGACAGTAATCAGCCTAGAAATTTCAAAGCATTGAAGCTGTCAATATAATTAAATACCTTCTTGTTTAATATATAGCTTCAAACAAACTCCGAACAAAAAAGTCATCTTGAAATTAAAGGATGAACAATAATATGAATTAAACAAGACGATAGTCTCAAAAACTTGTCGTAACTGTCTTGCACATTGAATCTCCGGCAAAATGACCTTGTTCTTTGGAGATGGCCTTGTTCTTTTGGTATTATTTTTTTTTAAGTTGTTCGCTGGCCGTGGTATTTGGAGGGTAAAGTGTCGTTAAGGTGATTCATCAGTAATTTTTCTGGATATGAGAATTTGCTGAAACCTCCCAGGGGGAGACGTTTATAGGATACGCTCATAGTAAGAACAGAAAAAAGTTGGGCTCACTGAACTCGTTTCGAAGATATGACAAGTGCGATATGCCACCTTTTCCCCCACATGGCGCCATCTTGACCCTTTTACGAGTTACAGGAACAATCGCAATTGCTCAACCGTTATTGAATTTTTTTAACAAGGATCCTATTAAAAATGTCTATCTAGTGATTTAAACAACAAAACATGGTATTTTAGCGAATCAAAAACCATTGACGTGCAAAGATGTCTTTTCTCATCTTCTCATCAAATGTAAAATTATAATTTGTAGAAATGATTTTTCTATTATTTTCTGATATGAAATGTAAAACGCATAGAAGAACACACATACAAAATAAAAAAGTTGGATCACGGGCTTTCTTCAAGAGATACAAGGATTAAACATGCAACATGCATGATGTGGTTTAGTGTTAGTTGCACAGGGAGCCCTAGCCAGAGTTCTATCATTTTTGAAGGTATATTTCCTGAAGCACGCCTATATCAATGCAGAGTGTTTTCTTTTTGCCCTAAGTCCTTTTTTATCACTTTTTTATGCAGATCGACTACATATATATTAGCTAGAATTTGTTATTAGATATGCGCAGTAAAAAACTGATGAATCACCTTAAGCACTATCAAGCAGCAAGACAGTGTTCAACGTGCATGAAACAACAACATTTAAATTGAGAAAGTCTTTAGTTTTCCAGTTAATAAAAAATAGGTCGAATTCTAACTAGCATATTATGTTGTTCCTATAATTGTTAATAACACTTTTGAGATTAATTGAGCACCGTGTGTCGTGTCATAATACTTTCTGACACAAAGCTATAGATAAGATATCTGGACTTGTCTCTAATTTTCATCTGAGAAGTGAATTGGTAGAAAGAAACATACGAACAGTATATTTTCTCATATTGTTTGGGTATTTGAGAAGATTTCGTTAACAAGATTTTATCCTACTTCCCTATTAATGATATAAAATTTTACACAAACCAAAATTTTATTGTTCGTGGTGTATTTAGCGTTGGGTCCAGTCCAACCCCAGAAACAGAGACATCTTCCATCATCCTGGCATGTTCCAGCATGGGTATACACCCCAGTGCCGCATTTTGGATCACATTTTACTGCAAGAACAACATCAATATCAGGTAAGTCACTCAAAACGCCATGCTTCTAATGATAAATTAGCCTTCTAGGACAGTTCTTGGTATTAGTAATTAATAAAATACTAAATAAATTATTTTATACTGAAAATAATTCCCTCTTCACGACAGACAGAAGACAACTGAAATCTAAGACCCAAATCTAAACATTATGCAATTTATGGGTGATGGTGAGAGATGATGGTATGTTCATTAGTTTAGTTAGTTTTCATCAACTCTCTTATAACGTAACGTGAAAGATCACTATAATATTTTTGTATCCCATGTTTTTATTTGTCACTTAAAAGATATTTAATTAAGCAGCAATGCGCCTAGTGGGTGCAGTCTTTTAATTATCTTACTTTGTTCAACACGATTTTTCTCGTCAAAGGGACAAGGGGACGAGCACGTTGTTCTTTATAAGTACATTATAATGCATACATCTGGCGCAAAATAAATAGTTTAAGGTAAGAAACCCTTGAACGCTCACTATGAAGACAAAATGACGAAAATTGATCACCTTTCTTGACTGGTGCAAGCTGCCTACCAATAGCTCTGGCTTTTACAACAGGCGGCCAAGTACCATTCAGACATGTCCCATTTCTGACAACAGGTGTATAGTGGCATGCGGTCACACAGTAGTCCGCCTATATAAAACAATTGTGTGAAGAATTGTTCCCTTGTTCACGATCGTAAGCAACTGCACATGCGTACTTGCAACCTTGCGCAGTTTCCATGTACCAGGATAAATGCATGCTTGTTCAAATATAGTTGTATTTGTAATTATAATAAACGGCGTGGCTTGGGTAAAAACTGGCAGGGAACATAAAAAAGATATTCAAGATCCTTCATCATGATGCTAGTAGTAACGAATTAAGGCTCTTCACTTCAAACATCAAAGTATTTTTAATTTTATTTTTAATTTTATTTTTAATTTTTTAGGTTGTTCTGAATGACTGCATGGCAGTTGTTCTGACTATCTGATCGATACTTACAATAAGTCTATTCTTGTAGCTACCATCTTCAACGTAGCAAGCATTGGGTCCAGTCCATCCCCACCAGCATAAACACCGACCATTGCTGAGGCACTGCCCTTTTCCATAATAGGGTGCTGTATGGAGAAAATTACGTACTGTATATACTAATATCAAATTTTTATTTTGACGCATCGTGGTGGAAGTCCCTGAGCTATCGAACTGAAGTTTAAATTTATTTTTCATTTCACCACGATATAGCCGCTTGTTTACTCGATCTTACATTTTCACGCATCCTGGCTATGAAACCGATGGTGGTCCTTGGATGTCCATTGCCAATAAAATTACAGCCAATACACCCTTCCGGAAAATACGTCACTTTGGCTATAGAGCCTCATTTTCGTGTATCTGACATCAGTTAAAGGCGCGTCTCAATCACAAAAACGAGGCTCTATAGCCAAAGTGACGTACTTTCCGCAAGCGTGTATTGTCACCTGATCGTGGAATATTTGCAATTTTTCAGTTCAAAATCGCTGTTTCATGTTCATCAGCTATCAATTGAGCTATTTATCAATTTCAGACAAGAATACGGACACATACAAATTTCAGAAGTACAATTAACTCGATTCAGTTCCAGTATTAAAAATAGACATTTTAGTCATCAATGTACATGCATTGCAATATAGAATAAGTTATTTAAGCGAAGCTATAAATTAATTCCAGTTTTGGGTAGAGCGAGATCTAATACAAATTTTTACAGAAATTTATTTAGTCTATTACTCTTCTATTATATACTTTATTATTACAACCAAATTAAAATGCACCACTGGCTATTCACGGTTGCCTGACTTTAAGTATATAAGAGAGAGAGAGAGAGAGAGAGAGAGAGAGAGAGAGAGAGAGAGAGAGAGAGAGAGAGAGAGAGAGAGAGAGAGAGAGAG